AATGATTTAATCTCCAGCTTGGGGAGGCGGAGCCGCGTTGTGCAGTTTCTGGCTCCGCCCCCTCCTTGGAGCGCCCCCCGCCGGGGGTACAAAACTGCCCCCCGCCCCCTGCCCTCGGTGCGTTCCTGCCGGCTGCCTGCGGGCGGGGCTGCCGCCCGTGACCGCCCGGCTGGGGGAGCTGGGCCGGAACCGAGCGGGGGCCGGAGGGCTGAGGACGGAGCCCGAGCCCGGCTTGTGTGTGTGTGCGCGCGCGTGCGTGCGTGTGTGAGTGTGAATGTGTGTGTGTGAGTGTGCGCGTGCGTGTGTGCGTGTGAACGTGTGAACGTGTGTGTGTGAGTGTGCGCGTGCGTGTGTGCATGTGTGCGTGCGTGTGTGTGTGAGTGAGACGGGGGAGGGGTGCCCTCGCTAACTCAAACCAGATTCCCTGTGTTTCCCTATGAGGCCCCGCAGCCTGGGCTATGGAAGTTTTCTCTCTCTCCCCCGGGAGAATGGAAGGGAAATACAATGCTGCTTCTTTTCTTGTTGTCACCCCTTGCAATCTGACCGGCTCCCACGGCCTTCGGCCGCGTCCACGGTGCGGGTTCTTTGCCCCGGCGTCTGAGCCCCCGGCTCGTGCGGCCATCTGGACCAGAGAACGCGTCCCGTCCAGCCGGCGTAAACAATGAGGGGCCCCGTTCCGGACGGTCTCCGCAATGCAACTTCTTTGCCGGGTCTGGGTTTCCAGCTCCCCACGCCTCCGCCCCTTTCCGAGGCTGGGCTGGAGGAGGGGGCCATCGGCAGGGTGGACTGAATTTTAAGAGAACAAAGAACAGGGCACAAAGAAAGGGGGAGCCACGCTGTAGAATTTCCCCAGAAATGGGGTGGGGGGGTTTGCTGGCCCAGGGCTGGGCCCAGCCAGACCTGTGAGTAGCCCCGGGGCTCCGGGTGCATCGCCTGGCCACCTGTGAGGCTGTTTCTGTGTGGGAGCTAGCACCCTGCCGTGAGGGTGGGGTGCCATGTGGGCTCCAGCTTTTATCAGCTGTGCTGTGCGATCCGCCAGGCGGCCAGCAGATGAGTGGTTTATCTGCTCCCAACTTGGACTTCGCCTCTCCACTCCCCGAGGCCAGCTGCTGCTGCCCACAGAGTTCAGGGAATCGTGGGAGACACCCCTGGGATCCGGGTGACCGCCGCGGGGCATGGGAGAGGGGTTAGTGTGATAAAGTGAGCCTGCTTCCAGGAGGTGGCGGTTTGCGGTGAGTTGTAGCCGCTCTGGTGTCCCCCTGAGTTCGTGGCCCCAGCTCACTGATGGCCGAGTGCTCGCATTACCCTCCCGAGCTCAGGCCTCTCCTTGGAGCATTCCTTCCGTTTTCTGGGGGTTTCTGCTTTCTCCCGCTCATTTCTTTCTTACACCCACCCACTGAAGCTCATCCCAGGCTGATGTGCAGACCCAACCAGGGCTGTAGACCAGGGAGCCGCAAGCAGATGAGTCTCCTCTACAAAATGGGGCGGTGAGGGGGGTGAGCAAATAGCGACCTGTGTGTGTGTGTGTGTGTGTGTGTGTGTGTGTGTTGGGGGGTGGTCTTAGACCCTCCTTGGCGAGTCAGGAGCTCTCCCAGAAAGACCTCGAGCTGGCTGGGGTTCAGAGAGTCCAGCCTCCTCCACCCTTGGAGCTCTTGGTTGATTTCTGTGGCCTGGGCAGGCTATGCCCAGGTGTGGTAGGCAAGGTTTTCTCGCCCCACCCCTGCTTTGGATTGGTTAGGAGTAGGGGCCTCAGAGGCCAGAGCACCCAGCGTTGCCGTTGGGCAGTGAGCCCAGCTGTCTTTGGCAGGATGTTTCCACAGGCCCAGAGGAGCTTGTCCCCTGTGGGGGTGGGGAGAGTCTGGCCCTGGGAGAAACAGGATCTGGGTGATGCCAGAGATAAGGCTGGGGGCAGGGAAGGAGAGAGAGGGGTTGAGCAACCTGGCCCGGAGCCGAGGGAGCTCACCCGCAGCTTAGTCTCCTGACCTGTGTACCTGACGCTTTTCCTGGACTTTGGGAAAAGGAACCAAACTTCAGAGCTGCTGGCAGAGGACCCCAAAGGCCCGCTCTGGCCAGGACGTGCTTTCGGGAGGACAGCCCAGGGAGCTAGACGGCCGTGCTGGAAGGGACTGGTTCGGGCTGGACATGGCCCTTCTCTGCCTGCAGTATGTTGAGACGG